GGAGGATGCGGGACTGGAGGACTGCGCGCTCCCGCAAGAGTCCATCGCCGAGGCTTTCTCCCTTGCAGCGTTGGCCGTTTCCTCCCGCCTCCCTCACCTCTCCCTCTCTGATGACGAGGACGAGGGGGACGACCCGCTCGCGCCTCGTGGAGGCTGCGTGGAGGCGGGACCCACCTGCGGGGCCATTCCCGAATCCCTTGTTGGCGGAGGGCGCGGCAGTGAATGCCACGCCGACGAGGTCATGGTCGTCGCCGGGCGCGGAGACGAGGAAGATAGGGTTGTTGTGGTCGTCGGCCAAGAGCTGGGACAGGAGAAGGGTTGCGCCGAGGGGACCAGAGAAGGAGAGCAGCGGAAGGTGGAGGATGGGATTGTGGAGAAGGCCATCTTGGTGAAAGATTTCGCGTGAGCTTTTCTTCTAGCTTGATGAGAAGACATCTCCCTAGTATTTGTTGTTTCTTTGACTTGCAATGTATACCTTGATTTTAAGATCAGATGACATTATGCTAATCTCTTTGGTACGGTGGCAAGTTACTTAGCATCAACGGTATTCGACTCGGTGCATTGCTGATGATTGCTGTTGTTTCCTGCTTGATTTGTGCTCGAATTAGCGACATGCTCTTGTTCAAAGAAGTTCGTGACAAGCTAGTGGTTTTGGCAAGCTGCAAATGCAACTGATATTTATTGGCTGTCCTAAGGGTAAGGGGAAATGATGCAAATGTGATTGTGTCTGACATACAATGTGTCTTAGTAGAGCTTGCAAACAGAGAAATGCCACAAGAAACCACTGGATTTGACTTGGCATCAAATCTTTGCAGAAGATTATATTCAGAAACATGCTTTACCATTTCAGGGGAAAAGATTTCTTGCAGAAACCTTCCTCGATGGATTCAGTGGGAAATAATAAAAGGCACCACTCATAAAAAAAATCAATAGAACAGAGCAGACTTCTTGTTGATTATGAACATGATATGGATCATGTACCTTTTCAACAGGAACTGAAATTGGATTACGGACAAACTAACACCATTGCAATACACAGTGCCACTGGCGAGCAAAACTAGTGGAAGATTTTCTTATAAACTAATTAGATGTGCTAAGCTCACTAGCAGGTTAGTGTGCCGATATCCTGGCGTAGCAGCAGATTATTGTGTCAAAGTGAATGGAAGTGTTGAAAAGGATGTTTGTGTGGAGACTTGAGAGTAGATATGTATAGCTGAGTAACTAGTTAAATAGCTTGAAGGATTTTTCGACGTGTAACATGATCGAGGTCATTGCATCTCTTTGTTCTGCCCATATATTTGCAGCCCTGCAGGTAGCTTTTATGCTTAAGTGTCTTTTCTGCAACAAGATGAACTCTATGATTCAATTAATTTCTGAAAAAACTAAGGCTAGATGGTTTCAGCTAAGTCATCTAACAATCTGCGTAACAGAGTCTTTTTGTGACTGGTATTTTTGATTGGCCAGTCACGCTTCCTGGTAGGATGGCTGCAAAAAGGTCATTATGATAGCATGTTTCTCAAAGTTCAACAGATATATTTTGATTGGGGTAAGAGATTCATAAAAATACTATTCGCAATTGTTAATATCTCTGAAATATGATCGTATATCATGTGTCCCATCTAGTCCAGGTTTATCAGCTCTGCATTTTGAGGTACTCATGTGCTTCAGTATTCCAACTGTACTCAAGTGCTTAAGTGCTTCAGTGCTTTAGGTACATCTACTTGATTGCTTCATTTGGTTTAGGGAAGTATTAAGAATTCCCACTTTCGGATGCTTCATTCATGTTTGTTGTGCATGAGCCAAGGGGAAAATGAAGCTGGCCAGAATCTGTTGCAAAGAAAGGAAGCCAGATACATCAGGTTTCAGCATTTTCATCTGTTTCAATTTAAGATCATTGTAGCTTTAATTGATGAGTTCTTCTCATTTTTGGCATGCTATCCAGGTAAAAAAAAAATTGGTATGCTTTTGATTTTCTATCACCTCTTCTCATCCTCATTACTACGTGATTACACGAGCACCGCCATGCAAGGCATCTTTCCTGAGTTATATGAATTCA